GATTGTTTTAGTGAGTGCAGGTGCAGAGAGCAGAGGAGGAGGTAGAAGAGTGTACAGGAGGTAAAGAGGGGAGCACTGGTGCACTACCATTAAGTGGTTGGGCCACACACAAAGGAGATACTAACTCCTATCCATGGGTCTCTGGTGCCTAAGCAGAGGGATTCTTTCCATAGAAGAGGAATGAATGAGGTATGTACACTGGAGATCACCATGTAAATAGGAGGAATTGTAGGATTAGTAATGAGACAGGCTACCTGACATGAACAAGACAGGGATTGGTTTTGGAATCACCCACTGGCTACTGTTGTAGATTATTTCATTGTCAGAAGATAGCATTCAGTAAGTGGGCTTATCCCAAGTGCACTGGGGTTTCAAACTTGGATGAGCACTCTTGGATAGTGAAAATTTTGGACAAAATTATTCTAGGATATAAATTTCATGCCCTGAAATTGGGGTGTCCCAAAGGTAGGATCATGCATTTATAAGTAGGTGGAATAAATAAGCATCTTTATGTGTGATTATTTACATACAAATAACCTTTATCTCTTCTTTTAAACTAGTAATCATTGACTACTTCGTGCCCAGAACAGTGCCTGACATGGAGTAGATGCTTAATAAATGCTAAGTTAATAAATGAATTATAGAAAATATTTCAATATATATTTTGTAGTGCCTGAAATTCTGGCATATAGTAGTGTGTGTGTGTGTGTGTGTGTGTGTGTGTGTGTGTGTGTGTGTGTGTGTGTTTGAAGCACTTTCCTCATTCAGAAGTAAGGAAAGAATTACATCATAAATCTTCAATGCTTCAGTAATAGCATCTTTAGTTTTTAAAATCATACTACTTTTCTCCTATGAGGTGGGAGTAGCTGGAGAGCCTGAAGGGCTTGATAGTTGTTAGGTAGTAATGGCTAAAAGTGTATAAAGAAGAAAAAAAAATGACACCACACTGCAAAATCTTTATCCTTTACACATCCCTTTCTTGGTTTAGTCTTGCCCAGAATAAGGACTTCCTTTTAATGAGACCACAGACTATAAAACTAAGAAGCCAATTCAAGATTTGGAGATGAATGGTTTCTGGTCTGGTTCTGTTAAAAATGTGCTGCTTTTTCTAGCTCCCATGATTTAAAAAAAATATATTTTATTTCTTTCTCTCCCTTTGTGTATCATTCCATTTCTGCCAGTTCTTTGCTTCTTCCTTGGACTCCCTAGCCACTCTTTTGTAGCTTTGTCCCTTTGTGATGAAAAATGTATTTTGAGGAGTGTTTTTAGCCAATAACTGGAAATAATTATGTAGACACCTGCACATCAGCTCTCAACCGCCATGTTTTATGGGCATATAATATTCAGCCCTAAAAGTTTTACAGAACTGCTTTAAACTTGTCCTTTTCTCAAACTGCCTTAGGGTGTGTGTGTGTGTGTGTGTGTGTGTGTGTGTGTGTGTGTGTTTAATGGAAGTGGCTTTGGAAATCATTTTCTTCACCACGTGCCGCTCTGGCTGCCTTGTGCTGAAGCTGGGAAAAGCCAGTTGGAAGCTGCTAATACAGCATCACTTTGGGAGCTTGGCTGTCTGCTACTTAGATTTCATCTTTTAATCAGCAACTTCCCTCTATTTTCTTCCCATTACCACACAACAACTCTGTCTTACTGTGTTAGCTTGTCCCTGATAATCAAAGCTAAAATGTCTTCTAAGGAAGTGTGCTCCACTGTCAGTCCATTAAGCAACAGCTGTGTCACACATGGCCATCAGTTGCTAAATCGCAGAAGTCCCACCCATATTTCATTCTATGTACAATCAGTGGCAATGTTCAAATCCCAGTATATACATTCAGATATGCAAGAAATTAAATTTTTAATTATTCTTCTATAATTGAACTTAATTTCTATTTTGAGTCCCTATGATGTTGAGTGGTAGATATTTACTCTTACTAGTAGTTGAGCTTGTTCGGCCTGGGGCTGTATCTAATGTGTAGATGGCTTACAGATGCCAAGGCCTTTTTATGTTCAGTCATCAGGTGAGGCTGGCATCTGAGATGACCCTTGCTCCCATCAGGAAACCACCTTCAGGGCATCACTTGGGGTCTCTCTGTCACCCTTTCCTCTAAGTTCCACTGGTCAGCCATTCTTCTCTAGATCAAGACCATGAACCCAGGAATTCATCACCAGAAGGAGGCAAGATCCCCCACTGTCAGGCCACATGCACTATTTTGAATCTTTATCCTTTTACCAGGGCTTTGGAAAGTTCTATTCAATCTAGACCCACCATCATACATACATTCTCATTATTTTCCTTCTATTCCTTTTTTTCCCTTCCAGCTTAGGAGAATCTTCTCTAGGCTGAGATGTAGGGGTGACATTGCTAACATGAGGCAAAACTCACTATATCCTCCATTTATCCACCATGCTGGCTAAACCATGGAGGCCTCTCAGAACCCAAATGGCATAGGCTTTGGAAACTATCACAGCTAGAAGAGAACTTCTTCTTTCCTTGCTTTTCACTCTGTTCTGTATTTCTTAGTGAGGCAGTGGATGAATGAGGAGAATCTGGCTTCTGGAACTGGCAGTGGGAAAAGGGGATGGAGGGAGGGGAGTCAAGGAACCACTGGGGTAAAATACTAGTATTTTTAACTTGTTGCTCTTCTATTCTTACTATTGCTTCTTAGTTTCCCTTGCTTAGGTACTTTTAGTCTTGTCCATAGACAGCCTTGCTGGACAGGTGTTGGGGAGGTGAACAAAGGCAGAGAGAGTCTGACAGTGTCTTAGAGTAAAGATTGAGGAGCCACGGCATGGTTGAACCCATATTTTGGCATGTCTTCTACTTCCTATTTCAATGTAGCAGGTTGGAGCAGAGAGCACACAGGAAGGGATTCTGTTACAAGGGAGGGGATTCTGTCCCCCATGTTAACACTATATTTTATCCCTCATCTATGTTTTAATCCTCCAAGATGAGGAGAAACAAAAATGAGCAGTGGTTTTGAATATTGTCATATTTAAATATTGAATACTAGAGGCCTGGTACATGGATTCGTGCACCAGTGGGGTCCCTCAGGCAACCAGGCCTATGGGGAAGGGCCATTGGGGAGGACTAGACCTGTAGGAGAGGACAGTTAGGGGTTACTAGGCCTGCAGGGAGGGCAGTTGGGGGTGACCAGGCTGGAAGGGGAGAGTGACTAGGCTGGCAAGGGAGGGCAGTTACAGGTGACCAAGGTGGCAGGAGAGGGCAGTTAGGGGCAATTGGGCTGGCAGGGGAGCAGTTAAGTGTCAGTCAGGCTGGTAGGAGAGTGGTGGTTAGGTGGTGATCAGGCTGGCAGGCAGAAGTGGTTGGGGGCAATCAGGCAGGCAGGTGAGCAGTTGAGAGCCAGCAGTCCGTGATCAAGCCTAAACGGGCAGTAAAATATCCCTCCAGGGGTCCCAGATTGGAGAAAGTGCAGGATGGGCTGAGGGACACTCCCCCCTTGCACAAATTTCGTGCACTAGGCCTCTAGTATTAATATAAAATAATCCTGGAAAGTGGTAATTGTACTTTCATTTCATTATTCTTATGAAGTCGCTCCTGGGAAAGGAATACACAGACCCCTGAAAGGTGGGGTTCCCAGGTCTTCAGACCCTCCTTGGTCTGACCATTCAGGGGACTCAGTTTTTATTATTTACCATGTCTTGTTCCTTCTTCATGAAAAGAAGTTCTCACATTTGTCTTTAGATTTTGGACAGCAAGCTTTTATGCTTCACATAGACTTTGGCATGAAATGCATGTGTGTGGGGGTGAATGACTAGGACCACTCCTCTAATCTTATATAATAAAAGCCTAATATGCTAAGTGTCTGGTCATCTGTTCAACCAATCAAAGCATAATATGCTAATGATATGCTAAGGCCGTTCAACTGCTTGCTATGACATGCACTGATCACCAGGCCTCCTGTGGTCCCTCCCTGGCTAGCCAACCTCCCACATCCCTCCCTGGCCCCAATTGTGCAAGGGTGGGGTCCCTCAGCCTGTTCTGTGCCCTCTTGTGATCTGGGATCCCTCAGGGGATCTCAGAGAGCTGGTTTCTGCCTGATCCCATAGGAGAGAGGAAGGAGGGGACAATGTGGTAGAGAGAAGGATTACTGGGCAGTGAATCTTGATCCTGGGAAAACGCAGGACAGATCTGAGAGCAGAATGTCTGAGCTGCTCTTTCCTAGCTCTTTCCCTTTGCCACCAGCTCCAGGAACATGGAAATCTTGGAACACATAAGGCTGAGGTGGTGACAGTTCATGGTAGCCACATTTCTTCACATGATATTTATGATTGTCTTATGCAGTACAGCATGTTAGCTCTTAGTGGCCCTGAGTGAGAACAGGAAGGGAGCCTAGGGTTGAGCCCTGCTAGCCCCTCATTCTATAGATGGAAAGTGTCCAAGAGCAAAGCCATGGTCCTATAGCAAGTTAATGACAGGATCACATTCCAGTTCCTTAAATTCTTCCACAATGTGGCTTCCTAAACTCAGACTCTCATGGACAGAATTACTGTAAGAGGTCCAGGACCTCGGGTTTTTCCTTAATGAGTATTGTACACAGCACTTCCTCCTAAATTAGCATATGCAACATTCTATCTAACACACATATGGTAGCCAAGCTCTTTACTATATGTTGCATGCAGATGATTTGGGGGAAGAAGTCCCATCTCTTCAGAATAATAATAAAAATAAATATTACTATCAGTAGTGTGTTAAAAGGCTTACGTTTTTCATTAGAATTTAAGCACTGTCTTATTGAATTTACATTCTCCTGTTTAGGGATTGTGCATTAGGAGTGTTAAAGCAGGCTAATTTTTAAGTTGATAATTTTGTATGGCCCACAAATGATATTATACATATCCAAATGGCCCTTGGAAGGTAAAGGTTCCCACCCCTGCCTTAGAGGCTGACATTGAACACTTGCTAATTTATAAGAAGACATAACTAAGGATCAGAGGGCTGCCATTCCTCAAATGCTCAGATATGTTTTCCAAACCTTCTATTACAGGTGGCGTTGTCCTCAACCCAGCCTATTACGGAATGCCTGGCCATACCAACATTATGGTCCATGAGGTGGGGCATGTCCTGGGACTCTACCATGTCTTCAAAGGGGTCAGTGAAAGAGAATCTTGCGATGACCCCTGCAGGGAGACAGTGCCCTCCATGGACACAGGAGACCTCTGTGCTGACACTGCGCCCACTCCCAAGAGTAAGCTGTGCCAGGACCCGGAGCCTACCAATGACACTTGCGGCTTTACCCCCTTCCTGGGGGCTCCATTCAGTAACTACATGAGCTACACAGGTATCAGTCTCAATGTACTTGCTTTCAATGAAGATGATGTGGGGAGTTTGGGGGCTGGGAGAATGGATGTGCAGGAGGTGGAGAGGATTTTCAGGCAGTCATTTATGCCCGAGCATTGAAGTATATTTATCATGAGATATTCTTCATATCTTTGAGAACTTAAATTTTGAGATATGTAGGGGTCTCATTGACTAGATTTTCTGTCACTGGAGATGAAAAGAAAAACACTTCTACAAAGCTTTCTTGAGCTGCCTTTGACTTCTACAACCTGAATATTCCTGTTCTTGTCCATGCTCTTGGGCATTTACTTTGAAAGAATCTAATAGTGATGGGGACGAGGTTTCTGGGTCAAGGTGGCTCTTTGTACTATTTTTGAAGTTGGTAAAAAAAAAAATGGCCTTCATTGATGTTAAGCTCAGGATATCTTTTCATTTTATGTTAAAGTATCAGATTCTCTTCTTCTAATACTAAGCAAGTGCTGATTACCTCCCTTCCCCAAATGGTGCCATCTCATTTAAAAAATAATAATTTCCTGGCCTTGGGAACAACTGTATTGTCTGGTCTTATTATCCTGGATTATGCTTCTTCCTTGTCCTTTGACACCTTCCTCATTTCTGGCCAAAAGTAATACTAGTTATAGTATTACTCCTGATAATGGACTCAAATTTATCATTTATTACTAAAATTAAGGACAGGTTTGAAATAATGACTTATTCCAATGTTGAAGGAAAGAGGTGAATTTTTTAATAAGTTCCATGGACTTGTTTGGTGATAAGTTCTAGAACTATCAAAAAAATAAAAATAAATCAACCATAGAACACTGCTATGCCTTTGGAGGGAAGAAGAGGCAGTGAGCTGGTCATGATCAATAAATTTTTATCCAAGTTGCATTTCAGTGAATAATTCTGGTGCAGCACATTCATAAGGACCAGCCTCCCTTCTTCCGCCAACAAGGTCACAGGGCAGAGCAACCAGACAGTGGGCTGCAGAGGGCAGAGCTATTTAAGTCCTGCTTTTCAAGTGGGCAGAGGAAACATCTAGGAAACAGGGTGCAGTTCTGGCCAGTGTGGCTAGGTTGCTTATTTGATTCCCAGTCAGAGCATATGCCCTGCTTGTGGGCTTGATCCTCAGGTGGGAGTGTGCAGGAGACAGCTGACCAATATTATACTCTTACATTAATGTTTCTCTCTCTCCCTGTCTCTTTCTGCAACTCAATAAAATATATTTTGTTAAAAGAAGCAGCAATGGTGAGTGTTTGGTACGCTCTTATTAAAAAAGGAGTTCTTACTATTTCCAACAGCATGGACGGAATTGGAGAGCATTATGCTAAGTGAAATAAGCCAGTCAGAGAAAGATAAATATCACATGATCTCACTTATTTATGGAATATAATGAACAACAGAAACTGATGAACAAAAACAGATCCAGAGACAGAGACACATCGATCAGACCTTCAAATCTTAGAGGGAAGGTAGGGGAGGGTGGAGGTAAGGGGGAGAGATCAATCGAAGGACTTGTATGCATGCATGTAAGCCTAATCAATGGACACAGACAACGGGGGTGAGAGCATGAATGGGGGGAGGTTGGGGGAGTATTGGGGGGGATAAGGACACATAAAATTTTTAAATAAATAAAAAAATAAAGATAAAATTAAAAAAAAATTTTTTTAAAAGAGGCCCTGAAACTAAGATAACTCCCTTTTTACCCCTGGGGGGAAAGATCAAATAGGGAGATTTTACCAGTTCCGAAAGTGAGGTGGGGACCACAGTTCCAGTCCTACTGCCTCCTTGACATTAGGCTCTGTCTCCCCTTGAGCATCTCCACTGAATATTCACTCATCCTCGCCAAAGTCACTGGGCATGGAGCAGGTGTCTGCAACTCCACAAATGTTCCCGAATAAAAAGGCATATGCTGAAACACTGCCATCTTGTGGATTCCCAAATAGGCAGCCATCAACTTAGAGCAGCCCTGAACCCCTGGGCCCACCGGGCCCAGCCCAACATCAAGGTAATGGCCAGGTTTAGAGGCAGCAAGTGCTATTCTCTGCCTTCTCTTTCCCATTCCCAACACAGACATTTTCTGGAACAGAATACATTTATCCATTCAACAGGTGTTTATGGAGCCTAACAAGTGTGGGATGTTGTGTTAGGGGCTGGTGACACAGGTGTGAATGAGGCAGAACTTGTCCCACCGAGGTGGATTTTGCAGGTTAACACCTCCATTTCCCCTGTTCCTTTTTTGTTCCCACAGATGATGACTGCACTGACAGCTTCACCCCTAACCAAGTGGCCCGCATGCATTGCTATTTGGACCTTGTGTATCAACAATGGAGTCAAAGCCGAAAGCCCACCCCCATTCCTATCCCACCCATGGTCATTGGGCAGTCCAACACGTCCCTCACTATCTACTGGCTGCCTCCGATTAGTGGAGTCATGTATGACAGGTGAGAGGTCCTTGCCATGGCTGAGCTGTGGCTTTTCTTCTGCACTAGGGGAAGTCAGGGGCATCCCAGTGGGAGCTGTGAACATGAGCAGCCACTGAATGCTGCCTCCTCTATCTGGCTGCTCAGTTCCCATCTCCCTAGCAGAGCCCCTGGCTCCGCACCTCAGCGCCCATGCTTACTCCTCAGCAAGGGGCCTGGCAGATGTTTCCTGCAGAATATCACCTCTGGCCAGCTGCCAGGAGCTATGATGAGGTTGACAGATCTGATCAAGATCAGCCCTTCTCAATGCAAGGTGGCACAGAGGCTGCTACTTGCACAGTGGTGGTGGGGGCAGGGAAGTGAGCAGTTCTGGGGATGAGTTGGTAGGTGGCAGGCTTCCTACAAGCTGTGCATCAGGGGCTTATCTGGATTATGTCGACATCTGGTGCCCTCTCTGCCTCGAAGTGTAACTGGTGCCTGCCCCATTTATGACTTCCCTCTTGTGGATCAGTCATTATCTGTTCATTTTTATGTCTGTCCTACTCAACTGGCAGCTCCTTGGGGGCAGGAGCATCTGTTTTTTACACCTTTGTTCCCTTGGCCTGCCACAGTAGACACCTAATACCTACTTATTGAAGAGAATCATTATACCCATGTTAGCTTTTATTTGTCCTTTACATATTGGTATAAATGAACATTAGGGAAATTTTTGTCCAAAGGGGAGAAGGTAGGAAAAGATGACCTCTGACAATTGGTGGGAGGATGGGGGAATGGATGTGTTTTAACGAGGATGAGAACCCCACCTGTGATCCTTGCGGGCCTCCAACTTTCCAATCCTGCCACTTCATTCTGAGAGTGGCTTTGGTCTGTCTGGTTCTTATGTGTGGGAGGCATCTCACCTGTAATTTCCTCATTTAGTCCTTATAGTAAGCATACTCCTACTGCGACATATTCATTGAAGCATAGAGAAGCACTTGGGGCTTACCGGAGCACCCACAACTACAGAGATAAATTTGGGGACATCTAGTGAAACTTCAGAAGTGGGGAACATGGAATATATTATTTCTTTTCAATTAGGGCTATTTCATTATCAGGTAGACACAGCCCGCTCTGTGTTGCACTTTCCCTCCAGTGTCAGGCCCAGCCAAGATGCTGACTCTCCCTGGAGCATGTTTCCTTGTGCCCCATCTTCCCCCAGAGCTTGGGCGGGGCGGGAGAGGAAGGGACAGGGAGACACAGGGATGGGGCAGAGCAGGTGAATCATTTTTCCAAGTTGTGATCCCATCCTTCTGGGATCTTGCCACCTGTCCTTGATACCTTGGTGACATCATTTGGACCCCACAATTTTATAAAGCACTTTTATTAATCCTGACCCAAGGATATGCTTTTTAAAATTGATTTTTAGAGAGGAAGTGGGGGGGCGGTCATCAGTGTGAGAGAGAAACATGGATTGGTTGCTTCCCATATGTGCAACCTGGGATCGATCTCAAACCTTTTTGGCATATGGGATGATGCTCTAACCAACTGAGCCACCTGGCCAGGGCCTATAAAGCACTCTTGACTGTCCCAGCACCACAGCACTCAGGGTCTCCCTTTGTGAGTTGGCTCATTCCCTGTGATGTGTGTAAGAATCCACTTCTGTGTATGTTGCCTGTGTAGTTTGGGGTGGACTGGCTGAACAGTGAGTCCTCATGGGCATGTGCAAACCAGAGTTTTACATCCGTTTATGTAACACATGTAAACAATTTAATCTTCCCGTTCTCGCTCTAGTACAGACATTGCGATAATGCAGACATCAGTGCTGGCTCGCCTCGAGGCTGTTGGCAGAAAGGCAGTGTTTTCTTCCCTTTCCCAGCCCGGTGGCCGCAGTGTAGAGGCCTCCCCACACGTGTGTCCGAGGAGATGCACGTCACACACCCAGCAATTTGTGTCACGCTGGGAGTTCTGTTTACTCCACTCCTCCCCAGAGCATGAATGTTAAGCATAAGTCTCCCCAGTGGGTCTTTGGAGTCCTTAGGTCAGCAAGGAGCCTGAACACGCACTTGGTGGCGCCCCGGAAGGGCCAAGTGCATCAGGGGAATGTGGTTTGGAGCTGTGTCCTCACCTACGCAGTGTTACTGTAGCAGAGGCTGGAGCTAAGGACCCCTTTCCCTTGCCAGAGTCTTGGAGGCTTCCTGGTATTTGGGAACTGGTTTATAGGAATTGAAGAATTTGTGACCTTAGGCTATTTGCCTAATCTCCTTAAGCTGAGGGTCCTCATTTGTAAACAGACTTCTTCTCACAGGGATGAGCAATAATTTATGAAAACCACCTCATGGCACCATACTTGGTATATGAGGGGCTGGTAGCATAGTAATTATGACCTCCTTCAACAATACTAGTTTTTAGTATGTTACCAGGTGTTGCTTTTCCCCTCCTTACAGAGAGACCTTGATTCCATACCTCCATTTTCAGATGTGTGTTCACAGTTGGGCTCCTAAAAAGATTCAAAGTATCAGAGATGAGCTTCCTCCTTATTCAACTGCCCCTCCTTATTCAGCTGTTGTTGTCCATGCTTTTCACAGTCACCGCAGATATGGTGCTTGAAGAGTTCTTCCTAGGCTCTGAATAGTCTTAGGTATGCCCATACACCCCCCTTTGTCCCTGCGGGACTGCTGTGGCCAGTCCCTATGCTGACGGTTGGGCATAGAGCAGAGCTCTGTCTGAACCTGCTCACAGGCAAAAATAAATAAATAAATAAATTAAATAAATAAATAAATAAATAAATAAAGACGGGGATTATCAATACCTTAGAGTGATGCCCTATGGCAGGAGCCAGTGTGCAGGAAATGCCAGGAGGACAGAGTGCCGGCCACTCAGAGGAGTGGGACTAAGTACCTCTGCCAAGGTTACATTTGAATGGGCCTTGAAGGATATGTAGGAGTTTGCTAAACACAGAGGGTTAGAAAGGCTCTTTGGCAGGAGAGAGAACATGTTTTACAGAACCCATGGTCTGATATATTTGTGGGATGGTGGTTAGTTTATTGTGATGAGGACATAAAATTCATGAAGAACTGTCCCATGAAGAACCTTGGATCATGGTAAGGAATTCAGCTGTAACCCCACAGGTGATGGAGAGCCAGGGCATTACATTTCATAGTACTTTTATGCATGCGAGTAAAAGTAGGGAGTTTAAAGCAGAAGTCCACATGTACTCTAAAAATCAGTGCCTGTTTTAGCTGGGGGGATGCAGGGTCCTCAGGTGACTTATCAAGAGTCAGCATAGGAAGGAGTTTTCTGTTGGAAGATGCAGAAATGTTCGACTCAGAATGCTTGAGGATGGAGCTGCCTATGTTCATCTCCACAGGCCTCCATTAGGGTTTAGGTTCTTCTGCTTCCTAAACTCAAGATTTCTCGTGTCTCTATGAATTTTGTGAAGATGAGGTTCATACAAGAAGGAAATGAGATAAGAAATAGTTGTTCCCCATTTACCCTTAGGGTCTCATAACCTATTGCCACTCCCCATTCTCAAAGATCTGAATTTGGCTCTCCAAGCCATCTGATGGAGTCTCCCCATCTCCTCCCTCATCTTCCAGGGTCCCGGGCAGCATGTGTGGTGCCTGCACGGAGGATGGGACATTCCGTCAGTACGTACACACAGCTTCCTCCCGGCGGGTATGCGACTCCTCAGGGTACTGGACTCCAGAGGAGGCAGTGGGTAAGGACCATGGCTTTCTTCTTTAACCCTGGTTGTTGGTGAGAATGGAGGTTGAGGTGGAGAGTGGAGATGTGGTGTGCAAATGTGTGAGAGTGTGTGTATGTGTGTGATTTATTGGGAAACACACTCCCTGGTACCTTTGTGTGCTGGATGTCCTACAGGTGCTTAAAGTGGCTGTGGTAAGGCCAAGGTCAGCATGGAAGACAGGGGTGGGGAAGTCAGCTAAAGCAGGAGGTGACCTCAGAATGCGACTGCTCTTACAGCACCTGGTGCCACAGGACAGTGCACACCCACCTGTCCCTCCCTCCTAGGAGAGGAATAGAGAACACGTTGCAGGGAATACTCAGACACAGGTGTACTAGGGGTTCCAAGTGGAGCATTCTCATTTTTGCCATTCTATGAGTCTACTAATCACTGGTACTGGCTGTGCTTTGGCTACAATCTAAGCTGGGCTCTTAGAGGGGGGATGTTTTTCGCTGTCTCTTCTGTCTCCCCCAGCTTCTCAGTTATATATTCACTCACATGCCTCTCAGACAAATCAGAGCATGAATGTTATTGTAACTCAAGTCCAGAAAATGTTGGTCCATGAGTGTTAGCACCTGATCACTGGGTTAACTTCTCCATCCTCTCCATCTTCAGTGTTTATCTAATCACCCTCTTTCTCTTTTTCTTGTATTTGTTAAGATCCTAAAAGCTCCTCAGTGAGATATGTTGGACAAGATTCTGTTTGAGTTACTTTGCAGGCTTGAGTCTGACAAGACAAATGGAGAACATTGGCCTAGGAGCTGACACTGTTCACCAGCTGTCCCTGTGGGCTCCTACTTCCTCAGACGACAGGAGCCTCATGGAGAAGGCTTGAGCGGGACGGTTTATCCAATTGTTCATATAGGACTCCTTCCAACTGAGAGATTCCAGGGCAGAACAGAAAGTTGCTATAAAATTTATGTTGGCATTGCATGGGCTATTTAGAGATTGGCATTTCATACAAGGCCATTTCTGGCCTTGTTGTCCTGGGCTGGTGTTTTAGTGCCCATTTAACTCTCTGTCCCTGAACTTTTTCTCTTTAATTTGAAGTTATCTGGTAGAAATGAAAGGAATGAGAAGTTCTGGGTTCCTTGTTTTGTGTCTTCAAGCAAACAAGGTCAACTTTTAGGGCCTCAGTGTCATGTTTGAATATGAGATTATAATAAAAACTTTCTAACATATGCTGCTGCATTAGGGGTCACTTCCAAAGGGGTTGCTAGTGTTTTGGAACAACTATCAGAAAATAGTGCTAAGAAATACTGGTCTTCCTCTGCTTTGAAAAGGTGAAGAACCAAGTCATATTTGCAATATACACAATGAAAGTAGTCGAATCATCAGCAGAGCATACACAAACACATATATTTATAAACGTGCTCAAAACCTATTTAATGTCACCAAAGGAACACTTATTGACCACCAACCACTTTCTAAATTCTATGGGGAATAGAAATTTGAACCAGCCATATGCTCTGTTTAAATGTTGTCTTCTTGGTGACAACTTCCCTGTCCCTATAATCTAAAATATCCCCCAGCCTCACCCCATCATTCGCTAGCCCTTTATGCTCCTTCACTTTTCTTCAAAGATGTCATTACCACCTGGAATACCCTCTACCTTCTACTATTTATTGTTTCACCTGTCACCCTACTGTAGAATATATAAAGAAAGACCTTTACCTCTCTTGTTCAGTATTCTGCCTTCAATATCTAGATGAGTTTTAGGTGTAAAAGAGGGACGCAGTACATTTTTGTTGAATTAATGAATGGATTCACAATATAGGCAAAAAATAGTAAGGACCGTAAGATGTAATATACATATACATCACACACACAAAACAACACACACACGCACACACACACACACACACACACACACACACACACACAGATTTGAACATGTTTCCTCTGTCATATTGTTTATTTTCCAAATTCTGAAGAGCTACCTAGTTCTATTTTTGCAAATGTTCCTCTGGAACATTGTATAAATCTTCCACTCTAACTAGTAAAACAGGGATTAAATAGTACTTATAAATGAGGAGATCAAGGCTTAAACAGCCACAAAGCACCGGTTGGAGCCCAGCTCTGTTCATTCCTGATTTAGCATTTTTTCTGCAATTCCCCCATGTGACAAAAAGAAAACTGTCTCATGGAGATTTTTCCCACAGAGCCGGCCTTTATATTACTTGCGATATTTGTTTTTTCACCAACACACTATTGCTTGGATACTGAATCTCCATTGCTTTCCACTCAAGAAAAAGTGTCCTCTCTCCTGCCTGCCGTTTTCTCCATGCAGGAACCTGCATGCTCCCAGGGACTTAAGCCGAGCACACGGCTGCAAAGGTACCACCTTAGGGGATGGAAGTTTTGTGGAGCCCAGTTAAACAGTGTGGTGTCAGAGTGAAGCAGACATTGGCTTTATTTACAAATAAAACAGGACATCAGAAGCATTAATTTATCCTAATTATTAACAAGGACAAGGACAGCGACTGAGCTTCTCTGCCTGGCTTCAGGCTCCCACCTGGCATCTGGGTCGCAGGAATCCTAGGGCTCTACTGGAGCTTTTGTTAAAAGACACCAAGTAGAAGATGTGGATTGAGACACAGTATTTTTGAGTTGTTGTACCTGTGTCCTCAGTTGTACTTGAGACCTAACCCACTCAGCTAACCAGCTTCTGCAGGAATTTGTTCAAAGTTTTCCTTTTTCTCACTCTTCTTTATGGCTGCCACCTTGGTCTATTCACCTGCAGGCTTATGATGGCCGTGCCTGATAGATCTGTCTTTCTGTCCACCTCCCCCAGGGCCTCCCGATGTGGATCAGCCCTGCGAGCCTAGCCTGCAGGCCTGGAGCCCTGAGCTGCACCTGTACCATATGAACATGACGGTGCCCTGCCCGGTGGAAGGCTGCAGCTTGGAGATGCTCTTCCAGCACCCAGTGCACGCTGACACCCTCACCCTGTGGGTCACCTATCTCTCTGTGGACAACTCCCAGGCACTCTTGGACACAGAAATCTTGCTTGAACATCAGAAGTCTGTGCATCTGGGCCCCCTGGACACATTCTGTGACACCCCGCTCACCATCAAGCTGCATGTCGACGGCAAGGTCTTGGGGGTGAAGGTGTATACTTTCGATGAACGGCTGGAGGTGGATGCTGCCCTCCTGACATCTCAGCCTCACAGCCCTCTCTGCTCTGGCTGCAGGCCCCTGCGTTATCAGGTGCTCCGGGAACCCCCCTTCGCCAGTGGCTTACCTGCCGTGGCCACACACCCTCACAGGAAGTTCACGGACACGTGAGTTTGGAAGTGGGGCTTTCTAAACCATGGTGTTTCTCGGTCTCTGGCCACCCATGATGTGCACTTTATGCTTTCTCTTTTACTTGTTCCTCTCTCTCTTTCCTTTTCTCCCAACTCTCCTCTTACTCTTCCTTCTGGCCTTACTTTTAGTGAGTTCTACTGTATTCCCAGCACTATGTGCCCAGTACAGGGACACAGACTAAGAGGAGGTCAATGGCTTAAAAGAGTTCAGTGTCTAGACTGGGAGGCTGGTATCACCAAAGACAAATTCTCCCTACCCCTAAGGGCAGAACTCAGGGTAAAACAAGATTTATCAGAGGTGCTATATTTTGCCAAATTAGAAATAAACACAAAACATAGTGGGTTAATACAACAAACACTGTTTCTCATGTTTCTATGGGTTGGCTGAGTGACTCCTTAGGGACTGGCTTGGCCGGGGTTAGATGGCTCAGGATGGCCTCATGCACACACTGGAGGCTTGATAGAGGTGGCTGGCATGTCTGAGAAACCCAAGGCCGCCTCCTACACAATCCCTCATTGCTCAGTAGGTGTGGCCTGGACTTTTCCTCCTGGGTGTGGCAGGTTCTTCAGTAGCAGGGAGTGCAGACCTAAACCTCACATTTTTAAGCATTTGCTTATATGTTACTCATGATAATGTTCCAATAGCCAAAGCAAGTCAATTCCTGATTCAGGGGTGGCAGGTGAGTCCTTATTTATTAATGAAAGGAATAGTAAACTCACATGACTGAGCAGGGGCACATCTGGGATAGCGTCTGAGCCAGATACAAAACAGTAGAGACAAATGTTCACCTTGAGCTTTCCTACAGTTTCCTCCCCTACTTGCTCTCCAAATTGTAACTAGAAGACAGTGAAATGGTCCAAAAGTTCATGCAAATAGGGATGAATTTTAAAAGAATATCATTTTTGAGCTTCTCTAATTGGGCAGTTAACATGACACTCATTATCTAACTTAATAACTGCGCACGCGTGCACACACACACACACACACACACACACGCTAATACACATTCTTTAAGGTCAATAGTATCTCATTCTGTAGATGAGAAATCCTAGCTTAACTGTGATTTGTTTGAACAGAGCTAGAAAATGGTTGTCTCAGGATTAAAATCTAATTTTCTGACTTAGTCTCATTTTGGTTTCCTTTCCTTAGTAACAGATTGCCTTTTACAATGTCACATCATGAAAAGTTGGGGCCCCCTCCCCATCCCTTTCCAGCCGTAGCACAGTGTCAGACTTATGAGTAGCTGGATGAGAAATCCAACAGAAACTTCTTGGTAAAGGAAAGCCATCAGGATTGATTTGCTTTTGAAAGTACCTGGCACTCTCATGAGATGATTGCTTCCCCAGAGACAGCTAATTTAGAAATGTAAAAGTCTGTAATATTAGATGTTTTTTCTATTAAAACTAGAGGCCCGGTGTATGAAATTCGTGTACTGGGCGGGTGGGGGTGGGGGGAGGGAAGTGTCCCTCAGCCCAGCCTGCATCCTCTCACAGTTTGAGAGTCCACGGGGGATGTCTGACTGATGGCCTATTGTTGCCACGGATGCGGGAGAGGCTCCCACCACCACCGCTGTACTCACCAGCCATAAGCCCAGCTTCTGGCTGAGCAGTGCTTCCCCTGTGGGAGCGCACTGACCACCAGGGGGCAGCTCTTGCTTTGAGCGTCTGCCACCTGGTGGTCAGTGCATGTCATAGCGACTGGTTGTTCTGCTGTTCAGTTGATTTGCATATTAGCCTTTTATTATATAGGATAACTAAAAGCCAGTACAGAGGTTTTTTTAACAGTGTTTTTAATACCCATGACATTTCTTGTCTGGTGGTGGCAGCATCAAGTGAGAGCGTGATGTTTTGTGGTTGAGGTGAAGAGCCTGGTGGCAAAGAAAAGGTCCTCCTGGCAGGACACTCACAGTGGCCACAGGTGGGAGTCCTAACAATCCTTTGAGATCCTGCCTCTGAAGGCACTCCCAGCCCACAAGTCCATCTGGATTTGGCAGTAGTTTTCCAGGGCAGGCACTGCAGTACAACAAGATGAAGGAAGACTTTGTTTCTGGAACCAGCAGCCCCCCTTTCAAGCCTCTACCCCTTCTAAATGTCCTTTCCCTCATGCTCTCCACCTGTTTGTGCACGTGGACTTTGGAGAGAGCCTGGTAGACTCCATCCATCTCTGCTGCCAAGTGATACAACTCCACACCTGGAGTGTGTGCATTTTGACAGGTTCGGAGGTGGGGAGTAATTGAACACATTTCTAATTGTGGAGCTTCTTGCATCCCCAAAATGATTATGGAAGGTGTTCTCACCTCCTAGGAGACAATGCTCTTTCCCTATGGATTCAGTTTACCCAAGATAAGAATTTTCTCAAGAGACAAAAGTAAGCAAGCTAGCAAACAAAAAAACCTGTAATCCACAAAAGGGCCTTGCTGAGCCCAAACTTTGAAGTTTCATCTTCCTTTTCTTTGATTATTTTGCAAATAGACTATTTTTTAAATAGTTGGCGTTACTTTTAAACATGGTAAAGATACACTGGAAATACCACCCTCCTAGATTTTGTAGGTCTGTTTGATAGTTTACTCTTAATTCTGCCTTGATATACTGCATACTCAATATGTGCAATGCACTGGGAATACCGAAATGAATATGGCTTTAAACCTTCGGCTGCTGTGGGAGATTGCGTGCCCTGGTCTTTGCTTTCAGAATATGTGGCATGTTTTAGCATTCATGCTCCCCATAACATGTATTTTAAACTCCTGCAAACATTCTGGATGTGGTAATCACAGCCCATTGGTTTCCACAGGGAGGTCACACCTGGGCAGGTGTATCAGTACCAAGTTCAAGCTGTGGCAGGAGCAGAGCTGGGAGAAGCTTCACCACCTCTGAACCACATTCATGGGGCTCCTTACTGTGGAGATGGGAAGGTGGCCAGGTGAGTGCTGGGTGCATGGGAATGTGAGAGCAGGACCCCTGCTCTGAGCAGGAGGGTCTGCCTACAGTTTCAGTGGGACTTGTTTTGGAAAAGGAAGTGACAGGGCACTCTGAGACCTGGCAGTGATCTTGTGAGGTCACTCACATTTCTGCATAGTTCAGGAGGGACTCACATTTATTTAGATCTGACCCCACAATACTGAGATATTGAGGCTGACTCTAGGGGGTGGGTGGGTGGCTTTTAAGGTTTCAGAGAACAACTGTGGTCCATGGAAGATATATGTAGGAAAGAAGATTACTTGTCAAATGATGCTACAAGAGGATGTGAGGATACTGATGGATCAGTGCCTATCACTCCTAACTAGCAGTGTGATCTGAGGAAGGCCAGTCTAATTTTCTGAGTGCCACTTATTGGACCCTTAGAAGACCTTCATGCAATGTAGTTTGCAGCTATTCTATAAAATCACCAATGCACCAATGTAAAGGTGGAATTCCCCTTTTGGTTTCTTAACATTCTATGTTCCTTTATTCAATATCACCCTAGAGGACTAATTCACTTAGTTTGCCTGGAACTTTCCCAAATTTAGCACATAAAACTCCCATGTCACAGCAGTCACACTATATCAACATGTCTTGGATGCTCCTCTGATATCACCTGCCATGTACACAAGCTGCTGGGAGTAGGAAACCCTGATTTGTCTTAGATTTTTGCATGCTAACAGCCTAGCCTATTTTTAATTCCCTAGACAAGGTGAAAATGTATTGTATCGTGAAGCCCTAATAGCAATCAATTCCATAGCCTCTCTTGGGATCCCACCCCATCATTTAGCAATTACTGAATACTGTTTATCTTCTCAGTCTCCTAAGGTCCTTAGGTTTTAGTGTAAGCCTATTGCTTTTCAGAGAAGTATAAACACCAAATATTCCCAGACCTCAGTAATATATGGAGGTGATTGAGGTTACTTGAATACCCAAACCTCACTAGTTAACTGCCAACTTTTGCCTCATTCAATCTCTGCATGCTGCCTCCTTTCTCCCCTCCCCACCACAATCAAATTTCTCCCAGGGGAAGCCTCGCCTATGCACAGAATAAGTCTAGCTGATGTGTTCCCTACTCTGGTTGCCTCTTTCTAAGTCTACTGCCCACCAATGAAGGTTTTTGGGGTTCATGGTCCCCACTCCTAACCAGGTAGAGCCCTCCTTGAAGAAAACACTCTGTTCTATGCTGTAGTCTTTCCTACAGCTGTTCTCTGATGGCAGCTGACTTGAGGTCCCACAATGCCACATCTGCATGGGGGTCTAGGCAAAAGGAGTGAAGGTCCCTCTTCCTAACTTGACGTTGCACATTCTCTCCTGTACCTTGAAGCAGCTTAACCTGAGGCAGTACCTGCCTGGCTACTGTGCCTCCCACTGTTCCTTATCAAAATGCTCCTTTAAGCTCCTGCTATATTCCCTCTTTGTAAAGAATCTCACTTAGTACCTCCATCCAGCAGGAAGAAGTCTCTGAATAGCTGATTTGTCTTAGCTGGAGGCTCCCAGTTACACATAAAACAAGAGGGAGCCATTGCAAGTTATTTAATCCACCATTTAAAACTCAAGAAATTAATTCTGATGGAATCACAGGTCCCCAAGAAGTCATGCTCAGACTCTAGGTAAATTTTGTTATTAAAAATTGAAAGTTGTCACTTTGGAAACCACTGATCAATGAGACTACCAAGACACAGGCTGCAGAAGGCCCACCAATTGCAAGCAGTATTCATTCAGCAGGTGCTGCCCAGTATGGGAGCCACTAGCCAGAGTGACTGCTGAGCCTTTGAAATGTGGCACTTATAACTAAGAAACTTTAATTTTAAGTTATTTGAAGTCAGTTTAAAAAACAAAACTTGATTCAGTTATTTTAAAAACTTTAAGTTTCTCTGGAGCAATTTGGGCAGGTAAATCTACTGTTTCAACTATAGATTTTAAGAAATATGAAACAGATGAGGTATTTGAATTGAGATGTGTTGTAAGTGAAAAATAGACATCAGATTTCAAAGAAATAATGTAACATAGCTTATTAATTTTCTAATTATTGATAATGCAATATTTTGGATTAGATGAAATATGTTATTCAAACTAATTTCACCTGTTTCTTTTTACTTCTTAATGTCACTTCTAGAAAATTGAAAAGTATACATAATTTGGGTTTCATATTTCTGTTAGGCAGAAGTACATGAGAGTATATACAATATACTTATATTATAGTATCTTAAAGATGAAAATAAACTTGAAGTTTCTTTAATTATGTTATTTTTATATATCATCTATCTTTTCTCCATTTACAACTTACAATTTAAAATATTATTATACAATTGCATTTATGTCATATTTTAAATTTATTTCAAAGCATTTTTATGTCTAGTTACTTAATCTTCATTCCATCACTGAGGAAGTATAATTTAAACAATGGTTGTAGCTATTAGTAATGAATTAGGCCTGAAAAGATTGAGCATTCCAAAATGTGTATCCATTTTTGACATCATAAAAAGTCAAGGAGAAACAATGGTAGCCCTCAATCTATTTTACAACAGCTAAATCTTGGTTCTTTCAAAGTGGCTTTAACCCAAGTTTATTTTATTCCCATAACATGCTTCATATATCCCTCACTTTAACCTAACTTCCACATCTCAAACCAAATTCAGTTGTTTATTGTATCAGCTTTTGAGGTTCAAAACAAAAATGATAATTTTCTTCTCCCAGGACAGGGTCAGCAAAAGTTAGTTTATAGTTGTTAGTATGCAAAAAAAAAACACCCAGAGTTTATTCTTTTATTGTTATTTATTTATTATTGTACTAGAGGCCTAATGCATGAAGATTCGTGCAAGAATGGGCCTTCTTTCCCCTGGCTGCTGGCACCTCCTTTGTTTCTGCTGGCTGTAGCCACCTTTCCGCCTACCCACATTGCCCAGAGGCCTGGAACGGGTGGGGCAGTGCAGGACACCTGCGTTGTCGCCATGGCGACAACACCAGCATTCTGCCCTGCCCCCCAGCCGCTGGGTGCCTGTGTATGTAAATTAACCCTCCATCTTTGTTGGGTTAATCTGCATACTCACTCCTGATTGGCTGGTGGGTGTTGCAAAAGTATGGCCAATTTGCATCTTATTCTTTTATTGGTGTAGATTATTTTCCATTAGAGACCCAGTGCACAGAATTTGTGTACAGGTGCAGTCCATAGGCCTGGCCGGCGATCAAAGAATGAGTGTCTGGCATGAAAGCGCAGGTCTCAGCTAACCTCTGGGCCCTGGGCAGCACATGGACCCCTGAGCCCCCTATGTGCCCCCTTCTACCTGAGTCATGGTGCCTGAGTCCCCACACACAGATGCAGTGAGTGTGGCCAGATGCTGCAGGCTGGGGCACAATGGGCCTCTGGGATGCCAGCAATGCAGCATTGAAGCCAGGTGGACAGCACACACTCTTCTGGCCAGCCTCACAGACCGGCTCCAGGGCAAACCCACAGGGAGCCTGGCCAACCCCTTTGGTCCCGGCAGCTGCTGTCCAGCTCACCTGGAAGAGGCAATGCGGGTGTGGGGTGGGCTTCTTGCAGGCGCCCGGCACCTGAGCGTGGGGGGCTTCCCCAGCACATGAACCCTGTAGTCTGGGGCAGGGTAGCAGGGGGAGTGAAAACGAGCTTGGCAGACACCCAGCATTTTCACCACACTTCTGTCCTGTCACCATCACCCCCAGGTAGCTGGCAAGAGGTTGCAGCACATAGCCGACACCTACCATGTTCTACACTGACCCCTGGTGGCCAGCACATATCAGTAAGCAGTTGAACTCATAGTCAAAGGACTGCCTGAGGGGGAAATTTGCATATAAGGCTTTTATTATATAAGATAGGAACATATATAATCCTACTTTTGCCCCATCCTGTAGGTTTCTGCCCTGCAATACATGTTAGCTGCCATGAAGTGGTAGTAGGGAGTGAAACAGCCTTAGAGATTCCTGGACTGAGGGAAGGCTGCAATTGGCTGCTGAGTCTCTTGGTATATAGACAGACTTCACTCCTATAAAATCTTAACTCTAACAACAACTGCATACAGATGGAACAAAACAGTGAAAACAAAGAAATAGATAAAAATGAACAGAAAACAGACCCACCCATCACAAGCAGTTTCCTCCTCACTAAATCCATTGCACTACTTTTCAGATTTCATTCATAACAGGCTGGTTGGCACTTTTCTAGCTCAAGACCACTTACTAGAAATACCCACATGGGTCTTCTAGATGTTTCTGAGCCATGAGCTACTTTTCATTGGAGGAATTCCCACCAGACATGCCAATCAGCTGTCATTGCTTAATTCTATAATTGTCTGTATACTTAATGTGTGTGTGTGTGTGTGTGTGTGTGTGTGTGTGTGTGTGTGTGAGAGAGAGAGAGAAAGAGAGAGAGAGAAAGCATTCTCCTAGCTCCCACTTTTTTCCAGCTTGAAGTTTTTAAGATTTTCAATTACGGTTGATATTCAATGTTATTTTATGTAAGTATTGTGGTCAGACAATTATTTAACTTAAAAAGTGTCCCTCCCCCCTGATATTTTTAGTACCCATCTGGCACTATACATTGTCATTACAATATTATTGACTATACTCCATACACTGCACTTTGACTGTTTTGTAACTACCAATTTGTATGCCTTTTGAAAAATATATATTTATTGATTTCAGAGAGGAAGGAAGAGTGAGAGAGAGATAGAAACATCAACAATGAGAATCATTGATAAGCTGCCTCCTGCATGTCCCCTACTGGGGATCAAGCCCACAACCGGGGCATGTGTCCTTGGCTGGAATCAAACTCGGGATCCTTCAGTCCGCAGGCCGATGCTCTATCTACTAAGCAACCATCAGTCTGTTCTTTGTATCTATGAATCTACTTCTGTTTTGTTTGTTCATTTATTTTGTTCTTTATTTTCCATGTATATATGAAATCATTCATTCATGTACTTTTTAATATACAAAAGAAGTTAAAATGATGGTAGTGAGAAAGAGAAACCATTTTCTATGTGTATGTACTAATATATGTCTGTTTTTACCTTCTAGGAACCTGGGCGAAGAGTGTGACGATGGAGATCTTCTGAGCGGAGATGGCTGCTCAAGGACATGCAACCTTGAGGAAGGCTTCAACTGTGCAGGTGAGTTTAGGAACACTGGCACAGGCTCATGTTCTAGGTTTAGACGTATCCCCATGTCTTATTTTTGTGAACTCTTGATATCGTGTATCATACAGCTTAGTGATGATGGTGATGATAATGACTGACATTTGATGGATCTGTTGTGTGCCAGGTACTAATTGTTTCACATACATTATCTCATTTAATCCCTACTCAAAGTACAAGATCACTAAACAGAGGACCAGGGACCTTAGGTATCTTGCTTTCTCTTATACTGCTGGAGGTGGTGATGTCAGAATTTGAGCCAGGAAGGTATGGTTCTAGCATCTGCATGTTAAACCACTAAGTTATACTGCCCCCTAGATTAATGTTGCCAAGGACTTCTCCTGGATCCTCATGTCTAATATCAATATCAGCAAAATAGCCCAATCATTATGAATTCTACAGAAAAATAGGGTAAAGGATCATTCTAAGCCAAAGAGAGTGCTGTGTTTCATGGATAAGATCATGAAGCATGACAGTGAGCCATAACATTTCTTAATCTTGGAGAATCACTCGTAATGAGTTAGAATGAGGTGGCTTTGACTCTAGACTCCTGCCACTCAGAGAGGCCACCCTTTTCCCAATTATGATAAAAACTGTCATCAGCAGGTTTCTTAAAAGTAGATTGTCTTCCCATTCCCATCTGCATACATTGTGTGATTCTGTGGGCATAACCACTCAGTAAAGTTATTTAAATAAATAGTGCATTTAAAAGTATTTCCATGTCCCTAAATCTTAAGATAAATTAGGCTACGATTATAATTAAGTAGAATTTATTAAGGTGTTAACTACTGCACAGAACACAAATGTCTCTGCTTTCTAGAACCGAGTCATAAAAATCATAGGATCTTAGTAGTCTTCCATTTATCCAACTAGAACCATGAGTCTAGAGACAGCCTGCTCCCTGCCTGTATACAGGCAAATAGTAGCATGTGTCCAGCTTCCTTATACAGCTCCTGAGAGATGGGCACTTTCTAGCAGTGAATAATGCACCTTGAAACATACTGTTCTATTTAAAAATGGCTTTATCTGCCATCAAATTCACCTCTCCTTCTTGTTTTGGAAACTGAGGCTGGAAGCATTTCAGTCACCCATCCATAGCATTACAGCAAGGCCCCTGCAAAGCCAGGCCTGGGACACAGCTTTCCTAATGCTAGTTAGGTGCTTTCTTCTTGCTGTGAAACTGTAGAGGATCATACCCCTGCATGGTTTGATTTGACTACCATTCAGAAATGCCTCCCCATCATTCTCCTTTCGAACCAAATGCTCATCGGGTGCTTAGGTTTCCGGATGCTCCCCGCTTTATCCTTACCTGTCATGACTCATGTGGTCAATGTCCAAAAAGGAATTCAAGACTCCATTGTGGTCTGGATGTGCAGAATATGTTGAACCCACTACCTGCCCTCTTGTGTACACAACTATTTGTTAATCCCACCTCTGTTTGCCTCATCTCTTTTTGTCGTACTTAGAAGGCTTATATTGAACACATGTAGTAAGTCTGTCTCTCTTCTCCCTGCTCCCAAACACTGTGCCTTCTTTAGTGCAGCTCAAAATCTCATTTGACTTCAGAGCCCACCTCACTTGGTTGCTATCACATCTGGTCCCCGTAAATTTGGCTCATATTTCCTGAGTCTCTAACTCCAATAAGACTACACCTAACTTTTACAGGGTGAATTTAAACATGATATATTCCACAGTTAGACATCTGTTTCAGTGAGTAATACATTTCTAGTAGGTTAAGAATATAGTTCTATTTCATTATTTCTCCAAAGATTAGGTTTGAAGAAATTATTGTGAAATGTGTTTTAAAAGCGTCTGTTATTTTTTAGGTGGATTTGAAAAAGACAAGAGGCAAATATTATAAGCATGTGGTAAAAAAAAAAAAAAAAAGTAAAAAATATAGAGAAGCAAGAAGAAAACAGTCACCGGTTAATAAATAGAAAAAGAAAGCAAATATCTCTCTTATATATAGAAGCCTAAATGACCTACTGACCAGAGCAACTGGAGCAATTGGTTATGAGTATGGTCATTGTATTCCCACAGCCAACCTCCCCCAGCTGGTCAACCTCTATGGTCCTTCCCCCTGGCGAGCAGGCCCCAATCACCAGGTCAGGGCTGGGCCCTGGGCTGTGACGAGAAACCAGGAATGGGTAGCGGCAGATGCAGCCCCTTTCCCAGGGGGACCAAGGGCCAGCTGCCTCCTCGGGGCCCCAGCCAACCTCCCATGCCCTGTGCCTCCCCACTGTCTGTACCCCCTGCCTGCAGGCCCTGATAAACCCTGATTGCTGGACAGGCCTAGGGATCCCAACCATGCACGAATTTTGTGCACCAGGCCTTTAGTATATATTATAAACACTATATACATTATAAAAGATACATATATATATATATATGAACACATGTCTAAAATATATATATGCTTATGTACATAAATACATATGTATATGTATCTATTATGAGAGGGAGAGAGAGAATCATCATGGGGAAGTCATTCCAAATACACATATATTGGGTCTGGGGAATGATTTGAACAAGCCCTAGGCTTAATGAAATGCAGGAATCTAAAGCCCCAGATAGGCTTAGAACCAAGTCCTTGGAACAATGGCTTATTCCTCACAAGTAAAGCTCAATTAACCACAGAAAGATCTTAGATTTGAATAAATTATTAAGGAAAATGATTAATAAACATGTTAATGAGCTGTGAATATTACTGGAAAAGCCTTGTGGTATTGCTGTGAAGAATTAAAACGACCGGTATAGTAACGGTACATTTCAGTAATGATGTTATTGAGTGTGTTATCTATGGGTTGCTTTAGTTTGAATCATGATTTTTTCCCCTCATGTGCAGTTAAAGTAGAAGTGCGAAATTAGAATTGTGTTGCTAATAATAATTGTCCCACATTTTGGTAGAAAAAGCATTAGAACTTAATAAATGTTTTTATTACTGCCCCTCACTCTCTACATCTGAGGCTAGTTTACAGAGCAATAGCTAAGTAGTATTCACTTAGAGTTATCCTATCAGTGAGTAGGGGTCAGTCCTGTCAAAGCTGGAGGCAGCGTGGAATAATGGGAATTCCCTAAACCCCAATTATGTAAGCTTAGCTCAAATCCAAACTATATGACATATGAATCAGGGGGCTTTGACAAGTTACTCAAAATCACTGAGACTCAGGTTTCCTACTTATGAAACCAACAGAAAACACATAGTAACCTCACATGATTGCTGTGAGACTAAAAGAAACAATAGGTAGTAACCCTTGTAAAGCTGGAGCCCAAATTGTCCAATTTCAGATAAGCTGCCTATTGAGTTAAAAACACACAATTCAGCAGTGAAAAGTAATTGAAAAGCAGTCCCTCAAATGCTTTAATATTTAAAAAACTATGAGAGAGACCCAAATACCTTAAATATATCATTTATTTAAATTCTCTTTCTTCTTTTATCAACTTTTCTAATATCTTCATGGTCCCCTAAATATCTTGATCAGCTATTCCTTAAAATTTATTTTTTCATCCAGGCCACAGCCACTGTTTTTCTCCCTGTTTCTTTTTCCCCAGTTCCACCCCTTTCTATACCTTTATTATACAGGTGGATTCTACCACTTTCCCATTGGAAAAGAATTCTGCTTCTTTAGGGTTTTGTGTGTGTGTGTGTGTGTGTGTGTGTGTGTGTGTGTGTGTGGTCTGCATGTTTGGGGTGGGCATTTAGACTGTCAATTATGGGATTCTCTAATGGGTTGATGAAAAAAATGTAATTATTTTTACATGACATATTTAAAAACACATTTTCAAATGTCATACAATATTTTTTTGGCAGGAGAGCCAAGCCTTTGCTATGTCTTTGAGGGAGATGGGATATGTGAACCTTTTGAGAGGGAAACCAGCTTTATAGACTGTGGTCTCTACACTCCTAGTGGATACCTGGATCAGTGGGCTACCCACGCTTACTCAGCTCATGAAGACAAGAACAAGTGTCCTGTTTCCTTGGTAACAGGAGAACCTCATTCCACAGTAAGTTAAGCCAGAAAAGTAAAGTCTGAGAAAATTGTGAAGTGACATTGTTCTCCTGACTTTGGCATCACATTTTGTTCTTACTGGACTAATAAGATTAGGTAGTCTAGAAAAGCTTTTAGACTAGCAATCAAGCATTATCCACCCCCACCTCACCCACGAACTCTCGTCAATTTTTATCTTACTATTCAGGGGTTGGCTTCTAGGTATACAGAATCAAGACAAAATTAACCTTAGAAGTACACATATTAAAAATGACACTTGGGCTTTGTGTTTGAGAGAATTTACTTTAAAAAAGAAGAAGAAGCAGGGAAGAGTCTGAATGTTTGGATTACATTACCAGATCCACCAATATAATCATTAATATTACTACATGACATTTGTCAAGTCACTTAACCTCTCTGGCCCGTTTTCTCTCACATAAAATGAGTATACTAATCATTTTGTATTCGACTCAATGATTTACTACAAAGATCAAACAAACAAACAATATATATATATATATATATATATATATATATATATATATATATATATATATATATATATATTAAGGCCCTAGCTGGTTGATAGTGGGCTGAGAGTTGGCACATGTATTTTTCTACTGAGACAAGTTCTCTCTGGAGGCTAATGGAGATGGCTGAAATATTTTTCTACACTGAGAAAAGTGTTCTGCCAATAAGGCATTCAGTAAGAGAGGAAACTTTGGCTTTGAGCTGGAGAGTTTACTCATCTTATCTTTCACCCTCCACATTTAATTTTTGGTTGAAATTGCATTTCAGATTTGCACATCCTACCATCCAGATTTACGGAACCATCGACCTCTTCTTGGCTGGGTTCCCTGTGTCCCCAGTGGAAACCGATCTGGGGAGGAAAGCAGTGAGCAGCTTGAAGGAACCCTGGAGAGAGAGGATGAAGTTTGGCTCAAAGTAAGTGGCCCAAATGTGTGTGTATGTTGTTTATGCAGATAGATTACACATGTGTCTATACATATGCATGCACACACGTGTGCACATACATGTATGTGTGTGTTTACACATGATTCATTGGAATGACTTGTCAGAATATTTCCTTTTGTCATCTCAATGTGTTTACATTTTGGATTTCACCTATTTTTGAAATGTATGCTTCTTTTTAAGTAATCAGTTTATCAAAGTGTGACATACAGGAAAGTGCCAAGATCAGAAATGCACAGTTGGATGAATTTTTGCAAAGTATACACTCTAACTACCACACAGATCAAGAAACAGAATGTTAACATCACCCTCAAAAGGTTCTGTCATTCTCCTCAGTTATTACGCCACAGAGGTATTTACTATTTGTACTTTTAGCACCATAGGTTAGTTTTGTCTAGTTTTGAACTTCTTGTGAGAACGTTTCCGTATATACTTGCATCATTACAATGTCGCATTCCAGTGCATAGATACATCACACTTTATTTATCCATATTCATGAGCATGTGGATTGTTTTTAGTTTTTCTCTATTATGTTATTACAAATAGTTCTGCCATAAACTTTCTGTATACTTTTTTTGTGGTGAATTTATAGAAATAGTCGAGTAGATTTGTTACTGCTAGATCATAGATAGGCAATTGACCAGCTTCAGTAATAATCCCACTTATTTTTTCACAGTAGTTGTACTTCCATCAGAGGCTTATGAATATTGTAATTGCTTTACATTTTCACCAAATGTGGTATGTGACACCTTAATTTCAGGAATTCTGAAATTAAGGGCATGTAAAGGATCCCCCTCTGGTTTCAGTTTGTTCTGCTTATTCATTTTTTATTCTGTTCTCCTGATCTGTATGTTCTTGCATTGACATTACATTCTTACTTTCTGAACATTTTTGATGAGTCTTAAAATCTGATAATGTAAGTTCTAGAACTTTATTTTTTCCTAGAAAGTACTGGCTGTTTTTGGTCCTTTGAATTTCCATATACATATTATAATCAGCTTCAGTTTCCACATGTGGAAAAAATAATCTGATGCAGTTTTAATTGCGATTTCATTGAATTTATGTCAATTTGGGGAGAGATTTCTCTTTAACATATTAGTCTTCTAATATGTTCTTTCAGTTAACTCTTCAGTTTCTTTTAATATTTTATAGTTTTTGGTCAAAAGACAGTTTTTATTCTATCAAATGCTTTTCTGCATCTGTGATGTCCTTATTATTTTCTCCATTGTCCTGTTAGTGTCTTGACTTTGACAAACATTTAAATGTGAACCAATCTTACATAGCTGGAACACAAACAACAATTTGAAGATGATGTGATGTATAATCCTTTGTCAATAATTTGGGAAATGATTTTGTGGATATTTTAAGTGATTTTTCATCTATGTTCAGTAGAGCTTGGCTCCCAATTTTCTTAAAATTTACACGACCTTGTTGGGTTTTATGATGAAAGCTAGATTTTACTTCCTAAAATAAGTTTCCTTTTCCTCCAATCCTCGGGAATATTTTATGCAAGGTTGGTATTAATTTGGTGTTACAGAAAACCAAAGAACAAAACAATACTTAAAGAGATGGAGTTACATTTATTACATGAGGGTCCAGAGGAAAATGTTTCTCAAATTCTGGGCCCAAACATGCAGGAATTCTCCCTATTTATATGATTTTACCTTCTTGTCTCCCAAATATGGAGTGTTTCCTGCCCCTTTTGCAAATTCTTAAAGAGCCCGTATGTACTGGGGCCTTGAGATCTCAACCAGAGGCCTGGCCTGGCACCAGCACTGATAACCTTGTCTGGAGAATGTTTAATGGCCTCTCTGAAATGGGAGTATAAAGGCCTTTCTGAAGTGGGAGTAGTCTTAGTAAGCAAGAATTTATAGAAGCCAATTAGCAGGATTAAAATTTCAAACAGCAGTTTCCATTTAAGATGAATGCTTCATTGGGAGGTATTTATCAGTGACACTATTTAAATCTGGAGTTTTCTTTGAAAAAAAAAGTTAATACTTTTTTAAGCTTTTAAGGTATAAAATACTTCTGAGAGCTTTTTTTTAAGGCTTTTTTTTTTTTTTTTTTTCTTTCTTGGACTAATTCCCTCTGGGCATGTTAATTTTTTTTTTTTTTTTTTTTTTTTTTTTTTTTTTTTTTTTTTTTATCAGCACCACTTCTCTTGTTCACACTGATTGACAAGTTCAAATTCACTGAGCTCCTTGGCTGGACACCTAGAGTCTCTCCAATGGCAATGGCCCAGCATTCTTGCAGTCAGCTATTTATAACTCTATTTACCTTTAATTCAGATTTCACCTCCACCATTATCTTTTTTTTTTTTTTTTTTTTGTTTGTTTGTTTGTTTGCTGGATTTTTATTCTTGTTGACAGATTTCCATATAAGGTGCCTTGTTAGGTGCTCAGGAATGCCTATGCTGCAGATACAGGTTATGTCATACTCTGTCCATCAGTTGGAGGAAGGGAGGATCTATCAGACATCATGTGATTTTTCTCTTTTGATCCATCATTATATTGAATCACATTGATAGATTTGTTTTACTTTTTAGATACAAATCATTTTTGCCTTCATGAAGTAAATTTACTTGTTTATGGTATTTTTAAAATATATTCTTGGATTTTATTGGTTAATTTTTATTTTGGATCTTTGCATTTGTATTCATATGTGGAATTAGTTTATATTTTCCTTTTTTGAATATTCACATTATATAAGCCTTATAAAATTGGACAGTTTCCCCTTTTTTACATTTTTTGAAATGACATGTATCAAATAGGAGTTACCCATTTCTTGAAAATTTGGCCTATAAAACCAATTGGACCTGTGGTTCTTAGAGAAGAGATTTATGATTGTTATTTAAATGACTTTGGTTTTTATTAAAATATTCAATTTTTCATTTCCAATTTTGGACTGTTTGATATTTCCATAAATGTATTAATTTTTTCCACATGTTCAAATTTAGTGCTGATAGTTGTTCATAATATATTTTTATATTAGTTATAGTTATCAATCCCTTTATATTATATATTTTTGAATTTTTTTTCCTCTTTTTTTCTTCCAATTACTTGTGCCTGGGATTTCTTCAAAACCAACTTTCAGTTTTCTTTATTTTATCATTCTAGTTTGATAACTCACTGATTTCTATTCTTTAGCATTTCTTCTCTTCCTGTGCCTCTGGATTTACACCTGCATTCTTTGTTAACTTCCTGTATTGAATCCTTGAATAATTTGTTTTCATTGTTCCTTAATTTTCCCCCTCTAAGTACACCTGTAATTGTAGTCTATGAATGTCAACATACACTATTTTCATTATCAATATGCCCTATATATTTTAAAATATCTCATAATTTCTTTTTAAAATCATGGGGTTTTAAAAGCATTTTGTTTGTTTCTAGCACTGATTTTTCAGACTATAACAACTTTATTATTATGACAGCTGTGTGTCAGTATAAGATATTTTTATTTGTCCTCTTCTTTATGGCCCTACATTTTATTAGGAAGCACTTAAGTAGTGAGCCTTTATTTATTCAGAAATTAAGGATCAGTTTGTGTTAGAAATGTGTATTCTCTATTTGTTGGTCAAAAAGTATCTACCAAACTTAACATTTCTCTCTTTTGTTTGTTAAAATTATCTATAATATCCTTTCCTCCATTCATTTATTCTTTTTTATTAGTGTTCTCTGTTTCTCTTTATTTGATCTGTTCTTTTCTTTTATTGTGCATTCTTATATCTCTCCAACTTTAGATTGCAAAAAAAAGTATTTCAGATAAACTGAATAAATTTTAAGTGTAAATAAGTTCTACTTTATATTCAAGACACACTTATGCTAAAAATTATTTGTTGTGCTCTGATATTAAAATTTTGTTTTTGTTTTTCCTAAATCAGGCAGTTCTTATAATGCTTTTTAATTTAATGGTCAGGTGACAATACTCTATTTAGAGATTACTTCAACCATCCCGATATCTCGAAAACCATCCAAATTTTATGATTTAGAAAAAAAAAAGAGCTCATATGTAGAAGGCACCAAGTCCAATTATTACTTTGAATTTTTTTGACTTTGTTCATAAGAAAGTTGACAATACCCTTTGTTAGAGACTGTTTACTTTTGCATGGAATTATAACAATATTAGTTTTCTGAATTTTCAGTCTGGCATAGAAAAGGAGCAACAAATTAGTAGGGAATTTAAAAATTGGGAGAAAACATGTATTCAGAGAAACAGTATTTTAAACCTTGTCTTTGCCACTAACCAGTCAAGAAACTTCACATAAATCATATAATCTTCTTGGGCACCAGTTTTCTTAGCTTTAAAATGAAGTGTTGGGACTAAACAATTCATTCCATGTCTGCATTTTATTTGAAGCTTAAATAAACAAGAGAAACACATATTATTAATAAGAGAACAGTCTTAGGTCATCAGGTGCTAAGGGCAAAGATAGTTATATCCATTGATTGCTTTAGGGCCTTGCTGCTCAAAATACAGTTGGCATCCAAGAGCATTTGTGCCACACAGAGCGAAATGTAGAATGTCAATTAGCCAGAGAATTCTCTGTTTAAGAAGGTAGGATTTCTAGTATATTTTGGAATTATTTCTGTACACATGATTGAAATTTCTAAAAAGCTGTTGCCTTTTAAAAGAAAGTCTTCTATTTGGAAAATTAACCTATGCAGTTCCTTGCATTGCCTGGGGAATCCTGAGAAAGCAACAATGACTGTGTATATATAATTTTTTATTTTCATCCCAACCTAGCCTGATACACTGAAGAAAGAAGGGCATGTCCCCATACCTACATTTTATCCCCAGAGACTAAAAGCACTCATTGTCCAATTTCCTATCTGATTACTGCTAATCTAACTTTTCATTGATTTTCATGGAAGCTGTTACAGGCTTGGACATGACAACTGAGCAGACTCCCAGTGTCATGAATAATTAAGGTAGCACTTTTTTTTTTTCAACCAGAAGGAAGCTTGCCTGGCTCT